GCTGTGTAACATAAGGATAAGACCTACTGAGCTGCATTCCCAGTAGGTTAGGCATTCTAAGTCGCAATATGAGATAGGAGGTCAGCACAAGATATAGGTCACAAAGACCTTGCCAATAAAACAGTGTGCAGTAAAGAAGCCAGCCAAATCCCACCAAAACCAAGATGGTGACGAAAGCGACCTCTGGTCATTCTCACTGCTCATTATGATACAATGATAAAGGCAGGGGGCAGAAAAATTCTAGGAAGACAGGGGCAGGTCCCTGGTGAAGCCCCACTCTCAAGTCAAAAACCCTGAAACCACGGTCCACAGTGAGAACTTATATCCCTCTTTTCGCCTATGGAGTAGCCATTCTTTTATTCTTTACTTTCTAAATAAACTTGCTTTCACCTTATGGATTTGCCTCGAATTCTTTCTTGCATAAGATCCAAGAACCCTCTCTTGGAGTCTGGATCAGGACCCTCTCTGGTAACATCTGTCCGCATCACTATCAGCATTTTAATCAAAACCATTCAACAAGTCTCTAGGAACTTCCAAACTTTCCCTCATCTTTCTGTCTTCTTCTGAGCCCTCCACACTCTTCCAATATCTGCCCATTACCCAGTTCCAAAGCTGCTTACATATTCTCTGATATCTTTATAGCAATGCCCACTTCCCAGTACCAATTTTCTATATTAGTCCATTCTCGCACTGCTATAAAGAAATACCTGAGAGTGGGTAATTCATAAAGAAAAGAGGTTCAATTGGCTCACGGCTTCTGCAGGCTGTACAGGAAGCATGGCTGGGGAGGCCTCAGGAAACTTAAAATTGTGGCAGAAGTTGAAGGAGAAGCAGGTATGTCTTCACATGGCCAGAGCAGGAGGAAGTGGGGGGAGGTGCTGCACACCACCAGATCTTGTGATAATTCACTTACTATCACAAGCACTGTAATAAAGGGGAAATTCTCCCCAAGAACCCAATCATCTACCAGGCCCCACTTCTAACATTGGGGATTACAATTTGACATGAGATTTGGGCAGAGACACAGATCCAAATCATATCATATCCCATTTCATTTATGCATTCATCTGTTGATGGATAATTGGATGTTTTCACTTTTCCTGCTATTATGAATAATGCTGCTATAAACATTTATGTGCAGTTTTGTGTGGACATGTTTTTATGTCTATAGGAGTCCAGTTGCTAGATCATATGGTAATTGTATGTCTAACTTTGTGAGAAATTGCCAAAATGTTTCCCACAATTGCATCATTTTACCTTCTCACTAGCAATTTACGACAGTTCCTGTTTCCACATCTTTGCCAACACTTGGTATATTCTGAGTTTTTTCTTACTTATAGCCATCTTAGTGTGTGTTAGGAGTTATATCATTATGGTTTTGAATTGTTTTTCCCTAGTGACTAACAATGTTGAACTTCTTTTCATGTGCTTGTTGGTGATTTGTGTATCTCCTTTGGGTAAATGTCTATTTGCCCATTTTAAAACTGGTTTTCTTTTTTTCTGTTAAGTTGCACAGGTTCTTCACATAATATATACAGTAGACCCTTACCAGATAAATGATTTGAAAATTTTTTTCATTCTGTAGGTTGCCTTTTATCTTTGTGCTTAAAAGTTTTAATTTTGGGCCAGGCGTGGTGGCTCATGCCTGTTATCCAGCACTTTGGGAGGCTGAGATGATCAGACCACCTGAGGTCAGGAGTTTGAGATCATCCTGGCCAACATGGCAAAACCCTGTCTCTACTAAAAATACAAAAATTAGCTGGGTGTGGTGGCAGACACCTGTAATTTCAGCTACTTGGGAGGCTGAGGCATGAGAATCACTCGAACCCAGGAGGCAGAGGTTGCAGTGAGTGAAGATCGCACCACTGAACTCCAGTCTGGGCAATAAAAGTCAGACTCCATCTCACAAAGAGAAAAAAAGTTTAATTTTCTTGAAGATCAATTTATTTTTTCTTTTGTTGTTTGTGGTTTTGTCATATCTATTAAGAATCCATTACGAGGCCAGGTATGGTGGGTTATGCCTGTAATTCCAGCACTTTGGAAGGCCAAAGTGGGCAGATCACTTGAGCTCAGAAGTTTGAGACCAGCCTGGGCAACATGATGAAACCCTGTCTCTACCAAAAGTACAGAAATTAGCCATGCATGGTGGCTCAAGCCTGTGGTCTTAGCTACTCAGGGGGCTGAGGTCAGGGGATCAATTGAGCCTGGGAGGCAGAGATTGCAGTGAGCCGAGATTGTGCCATAGCACAATCTCCAGGCTGGGCAACAGAGCAAGGCCTTGTCAAAAAAAAAAAAAAAATCCATTTACCGAAATCAAGGACATGAAGATGTTTACTTCTTTTTCTTTAAAGCATGCTTGAGAAAACCTTTATTGGAAGATATCCCAGAAGGTAACACTTTACAATCAGGCAATCAGTAATCACAATTAAATACAAAATTTCAGGTAAACTTGCTTTTCAAAATAAACCAGACCCTTTTAACAGAATTACCCAAGAGCTATTTTTCTTGTGCAAAGAGTTAACACTACTTTGCAAAAGGCATACAAAATACAGTATAAAAAATACTCCCCCCACCCCCAGAATAATACCAAACAGCAGCTGATAAAACACAAGTTATTCAGACCCCTTTTACAAGAATTGCCTGAGTACTTTTTTCTTGTACGAAGGGTTAAAACCGCTTTGCAAAAGGCATACAAAAATGCAATATAAAAAATACTCCCCCTCAGTGTAATACCAAACAGCAGGTTATAAAATGCAAGCTATTCAGACTCTTTTAACAGAATTACCCAAGAGGTTTTTTTTCTTGTACAAAAAGAGTTAACACCACTTTGCAAAAGGCATACAAAAATACAATATAAAAAATACTACTCTCCAATATAATACCAAACAGCAGCTTATAAAACACGAGCTATTCAGGTGAAACATCAGTAACCTACACTCAACCTGTTCTCCATAGACAGTTCCAAAAGTCAGCTAGCTCTTGTAAATCATGTTCCAGAAGGGTAAAGAGGCTATTTCCAAACATCCCCGGGAATTCTCTGAGTGCAAGAAACAACCTCAGAGGGAAACCATTATGGACAATAGATTTGGAAGTAGCAGCTGGTGTTCCAGAGCCACATATAGTACTTATCATTCCCTATCCTCCCAACTTCCAATCAGGCACCTGCTTTCCTAGGCAGAATTCTGGAAGGGCTGTTCCTTTTCACAGGACAGGCTTAGGGGTTCCTGAGGTTACCCACATGACAACTAGTGGGTTGGATGACTTTCCCAGACTGGAGGCTGCACCTGGGTTCCACGTGGAGCTGCAGAGTCCAGCTGGGGCAAAATACAACATGGAGGCAGGCAGATCGCCTGAAGTCAGGAGTTCGAGACCAGCCTGGCCAACATGGTGAAATCCCGTCTCTACTACAAATACAAAAATTAGCCAGGCGTGATGGCACATGTCTGTAATCTCAGCTACTCAGGAGGTTGAGACAGGAGAATTGCTTGAACCCGGGAGGAAGAGGTTGTGGTAAGCTGAGATCTTGCCATTGCACGCCAGCTTGGGTTACAGAGCAAGACTCTGTCTCAAAAAAAAAAAAAAAAAAAGAAAGAAAGAAAAAAAA